TGTGTGTGTGTGTGTGTGTGTGTGTGTGTGTGTGTGTGTGTGTGTGTGTGTGTGTGTGTACATATATATATATATAGTTATTAATTATATAATGTATATTATTTATATACATATATCTGAATTAAATGTATAGCATACAAGGTGATCCATTTAACTTGAAAACCTTAAATATTTCCCTTATTTTTAATAATATGAAAAAATGTTTCAGATAAAGTGGAATGGTTTCGAAGAGGACGTATTTTAGTCACATTGTTTTTTTCTAGGTGAAGGTGTCATATATAGATACAAACGTCACCTCTACTTTTTTAGATATAATTATATATACGAGTTTTTTTTTACATAATTTGGTTCCTCCAATTATTATTTTGCATGTGAAAATATTAAGATAGAGATATTAAAAAACCAATAGTTTACGAGATATTTTATCAATAAAATAAATTAAATGATAATTATTTAGAATAGGAGACCCTGTCCCGATGTATTTTGTTTAAATCACGACCCTGAGTGATTTCCAACAGGTTTTAGCCGTCGCTCGTTATTCATTAAAAAGTTATTATAACAATCAAAGTTGAAAATTATTTCCCCGCTTTGCATGAAAAGTGAATGACTCTAAGCATGGGAGGAAGTATAGGGTATGGATCGACATAAGGGCGATCAACTTCAACAAAAGCGAGATCCATCCCATCTTCCCCCTTAGAGTGATCAAATTTCCCCTAATAAAGCACGATAAAAGTAACAAGTCAAATCGTTACCGTTATTCAAATGTAACGTTGTTACTCATTCGTTATCTACTGAAAAAAATAACGAAAATGGTAACGCGTTACTTCCCAATCCTGTTATTTTGTTAATATATAGAATTATTAATATATTTTGTTACTAGAATTAATTAAGGCTCAGAATTTTTAATGAAATTTGAGAAAGAGAGAGAAAAGAAAATAGCCAACGCGGATGTGGAGATGCGTAAAAATTTTATTATTTATTCTTATCTAATGTATGTACATAACTTACAATTAGTAGACGTTTCGATCACTTTTTTTGAGTTTTCTTTAGTACAATATGATAATAATCGAATAGTCATATAGAAGTAACAACGATGATCAAGCGAAATTGTGCAAATAAAAAATAATGTTACAAGTAAAATTTATATGCTATAATTTATTTTGTCACAAACAATCATGAAGAACTGAATTTGATAATTATATAGCCACTAGCACTGAAATTTAGATTCGAGATTTGAAATTTGAAGATTTGAGATTGGGGAAGAGATTTAAAATTTGAGACGTAATTATGAATTCAGATCCAGTCTCTGTTTTATAACTCGTTATACAGCTAACTTGTTATGAACACATAACGACAGACTAAATCAGAATCACCAATCAAGTGCTTGCCCAAAATTAGTGGAATGCACAAGGTAGCAATCAGATACCTTTTTATATTTTCAAGCAACGTTTTGATTGGTTAAAGAGCAGCCGTCATATTTAAAACGACTGCGCATCCTTGAAAATGGATTAACTTATATTCTTTGGCCGGAATCAGACTACGCATTGAAAAATGAGATTGAAGATTGAAAGATTGATGTTTGACCAATCAGAGCTAAAATTTCTTTGTCCTCATTGGTGAAAATTTCAATCTTTAATCTTTAATCTCAATCTTGAATGCATAGTCAGATTTCGGCCTCAGGGGCTGCGCCCCACAATGAAAGGAATAGGGAATAGATAATAAGAATTTCAACCTATCAGAAATCATGTATTGTGAAATACATAGTTTCTGATAGGTTGAAATCCTTATTCTCTGTTCCCTGTTTCCTATTCCTTTCATTGTGCGCAGCCTCTTATACCCCTTATACTATCACTCGCATTCATAGTCCTTCCTTATTTTAAGGATGGAGGAAGTTTCCATGAAGGATTCTTTGATTCTCCAAAGCCTCCTTGTGTTTCATAAATGGATCTCAAGTCTACCTTCCTGAAGGAATATTTTAGTGATTTTAGTAACCTACTGAAGGCAGTACGTCACAATATATAGTATATGTAAACCTAATATCATGAATTACAAATAATAAAGGTTATAAAGACGTTGTTAATTAAATAAAGTCGTGATTAAGTATTTTGCAACAATAATGAAAATAATAAAATTAATAGCGAATTTGATTGGACGCATTCACTGCGCACTGATGCATATTAAAACTGTCGTACATACACAAAATAACGTAAATATATGTTTATAAACATAGAAATTGATTAAATTGTGAAATAGTTAATATATTTTATTGTACTGTTAGGTAAAATATATATTTCATAAATTCGAAATATTTACATTTTATTTTTATACTCAAATTAAATCAGTGTACAACGACTTTAATATGCATCAGTGTTTCCAATCGGATTCGTCATAATGCTTATTATACGAAAAAGGAGAAGATACTTTTGACGCAATTTATTTCCGAAAAAAAAAAAAACTATCGAAAATAATGATTGATGCGACAGATCTAAATTAAAAGCTATCGAAAATAAAAAGACCAGTATGACGAACTAACTTTGGTTTGATTGGTTATAAAGGCTGCACCTCCTCAAGGAAATTCGTAACCTTCCTTGAGAAAAGGAAACTAATAAGGCTCCTTGTCTGGTCAAGAAAGGTTTATGAAACGTGAAATAAGAAACAAAAAATTCTCATTCCTTCCTCAAGGAAGGACTATGAATACAAGTATGGCTCTGCTAAAATTATTAATTTCAGAGGTTTTAGTATAAATAAGTAGTTTATGTATCAAAACAAAATAATAACAAAACTAACTTAATCTATTGTATTAATAAATTAGTGTTAAAATGAACTTTAATATAAGAATGCAATGTGAAATTAAAGTAAAATTGATTTGAATATCCTTATATCAATTCCACGAAACAACAGCCATTTTTCACAAAATTCTTTATTTTGTTTAAAAGAAATGAAACAAATAAATATGCAGTACGTGTATTAAATATCAATAACATATGTAAACATATTCTACATGTTATAATTGATGCCTACACAAAATATTTCATACATTAACTTAAGTGTAAGAAACCGAATGAAATAATGCTGAAAATGGATCAATTAATATAGATTTCAATACGAAATTCAGTAATATTTCATCATTATTCATTATAATTTAGAAAAAAATTTCCATACCAGGGATATGACAAGTAAAAGGTCAAATTTTGTTGGGGACAGTGTTATTAAAGATTACAAATATCTATTAGATATATGTATATCCAGTGTATTGCAGTAACTGATGATCACTAATAAACATTAATATACTTATTTTATTATTATTAGTTAATAATAAAATTATTGATGTTATTAGAAATATAATTTAAGTCGGAAAAAGTATGTAATAAATTAATTACATATGTTACATTTTTAAATAAATAATGACAATATACTTTTTACATTTTTAATTCCTATTTTATTAAACAATTAAGCTATTAAATTTATCTAGCATTAAGCATCATGGTTCTTCATCGTGCAAGATATACTTCTTTACCATGTGATATGCCATTCCTATTGCCAGGCAAGCTATTGCTGTTCCTTGGGCAGCAACTCGGAGTTGCATTAAATATATCTGTGTAGACATCTTTTTCTTCTTAAAACCATAAATACCATAGCCACAGACACCTGCTAAACTTATTAAACCTATTTAAAAAGCAATACATGCATTAGATATTAATGAAAAATATTTACATTTTAGGTATACGCTTTAAAAAAGCTCACATACTTGCAATAAGAAATGGTGACTTTCGTCCTTTCTCTACAAATTTTTCTGACAAAGTTTGATCTATTATTGTGTCATTATCAGTAGTAGCCATTTTTAAAAAAGAATATACTGATAACTAATAACTGCTAACCTGAAAATGATGTGATTCATTCTGGATTAATTTGGTTATAAAAGTTACATAGATTAAAAGTTTTGTAAAGGTAAAAAATTAATTATTTTCAAAAAATTTATCTTATAGATAGTTCTGTTTATAAAAATTTATCACTTCTGTTTAAGTTTTTTAATATTAAATTAATAAAATGTAAAGATATAAATATAATAACCATCAAATAATTTCTATCAGAGCAACATAATTTTGTCTGTACGCATTACATCAGTGTTTCATAATTTCATTGATTATACAATTTAATTTTCTTCTTCAATTTCATTCAAATTAAAACATTATTAAATGTCATCAAATACAATTAAATTTAAATTTTTCAAAGTACACATAATTTTACCAAATTTTATTAAAAAATAAAACAATTTAACATTTTTGTAGTTTCCATTACAATAGTCACGAGATGTGACTGTTGCTTTAATTACGTGTGCTCACAGTTAATTCAAGATTATCACAATGATTAAAATTTTAATTAAATTTTATTTCTTTCAGCATTTTAAAATTAAAAATTAATACACATTATATTCATAATTGAATGCTTTCCAACAAGGACACATTGTGTAACAGACATGTGTCAGACATTGTGTAATACGTGAAAACAAGTGAATCATTTCATCCTTGTTTAATATAGACAAACAACAAGGATGTAATGATTCAATCTGTTACACTATGTCCGACTGTGCCCTTGCTGAAAAGTACCCATCTGGTAC